GAGTCCATCCCCGGCCAGGGAGGGACCCCAGGGCACAGCAGACCCCGCCTGTCTCGCCGCCTCCCCTCAGCAGCATACTTCCTCTTGCTGTCCTCCTCACTCTGTCTCTGGGGAGTCCTCTGACCCCTGCACCTCGTACCTGCGCCCCAGCTCTGTGTGCGAAACCAGCACGTCTTTAAAACCCAAGATGAGCCTGGTTTGGCTCTGCCTTTTACTGGGGGCAGAAATCAGCTTTTGCTTTTGCCAATTTGCTGTTTCGCCAACCACTGATATTCCAGAGCGTTCTCTGTGATCCCCTGGGACACAGTTATCTCCTTCCGTGGCTGCTTCGAAGCAATGACGCAGCAGGAGTGAGGTCGGGTTGAGGCACCTGTGTCTGCCTCTGGACATGCGCCTTGCATGCAGTGTTTAGTCTCCAATACTCATCATTTGGCTTAGTGAACAGGATAATGCTTTCTGCCTCTTATCTCTATTAAAAACGTTGCTACTGTCTGTGATGTCCCTTCAAAACCCAGTGGAGGGAAGGAGAGGACACTGCTCGCTCTTTCCTGCCTTAGTTATTTGGTAGCTGATACTCACCCAAGAGAGCGTTAAGCACAGTGAGATAGATCCGGCAGACGCCCACCGTGAAGAAACACCATCCACCTGGCTGGGGGTTTTGTAGAAGACAGGCGAGAGAGAGCTTGTGTGGGTCGTCATGGCATATCCCGCAGCCCGACCCGCCCGACCCGCCCGTTCCCGCAGTCTCCGCCCGGACATTCCTTTCCGTCCGTGGCCTCCTCCTCCTCCTCCCTCCCAGACCGCTCTCGGGCTCTAGCCCATCCAGAGCAGCTTCCTGTTTTCAGAGCGCAGCTTCATGGGTCTTGTTTTTGAAGACAGGGCAGAGGCGTCTCATACAGGGCAGCATCGTACGGGGTTCCTCTGGGCTCGTGTGAAGATGCACCAACCGCATGCTCGCTCGCTCGCTCGCCCCCTCTCATATCACTCACACAGGATGTGGCCCTTCAATACCCCAGAAAGACCTGTTCCAGCTTTGTCTGGAAATCAGAGGAGACTTCGGAGGTCAGTCTCGTCCCTCTGTCTCCAGGGATGTGCAGATATCTTAATGCTTCACGACCCTCTGCTTGAAGTTGGGGTCACAAAGACCTTGTCCGACGGTTGTTGCTAATGTGTCGTCACCCCCTCCCGTGGGGTCCTCCTGGCATCTTGGCTTTTTCGGCATCCGCGGTCACAGTCATATCATGAATCTCACATCCAGAATCCAGATACATACACAGGAACCTGAGGGTCTCGTGTGTTCACAAAGAACATAGGGTTGGGGTGACCTCCTGATAGGCCAGATTGCTCCAACAGGGTCGTTGCAAACTCCACTGCTTCCTGCTAGCAGTTCCAGCCATTCTAAATGGCCCTTGGCTCTCAGAGCAGCAGATGGGAGAGAATCCCTTGTGATGTGGTAAAACCCAGATTGTTGATTTAATTTTTTTAAAGATTTATTTATTTATGCATTAGCGGGCGGGTCAGGAGAGGTCTGCCGCGCCATGTGGTCACCTCTGGGGCAGGCGGGAATCGAACTCATGCGGAAGCAGTTTTAGATTCTCAGTGCTGTGCTTTAACCCGCTGTGCCACCAGGGAGGGCCCGCAAAAGATTTTTATCTGAGCTTTCACAGCTCCCTGCTAGACATGTTGCAATGGGCCAGTGACTTGAATATCCTCATAAAGAGGTGTCAGACGCCTCCCCGCGGTGGGTCCCGGCTGCCGGTCCCCAGGCAGAGGCCGGTGCTCAGCGCTGCTCCGCACTTGCAGGATAAAGTCATCATCGGCCTGGCCTTCGACTGTGTGGATGGGATGGTCTACTGGACGGACATCAGCGAGCCCTCCATCGGGAGGGCCAGCCTGCAGGGCGGAGAGCCAGCTGCCATCGTCCGACAAGGTAGCCAAGGAGGCGTCTTCATTCTCCCCTTGTGCAGCCAGGTGGCTCTGGGGGTTACAGGGTGTGGTGATGGGGTGCGGCCACCCTTTCCGGCCTCCTCTGAGGAGTCTGCCAAGAACTCACTCGGCTGAGCCCCTGCGCTGGGGTGTGTCGCTGGCCCTTGAGGAATCACATCAGAAGTGGGCATCTGCCAGGCCCTTTCCCCAATGCCATGTAGCGGCCCTAATGAACGACGCAGACCAGTCGCACCCCCTGGGGCGTACAGTCCTGCCAAGCCTAGAGTGGGCACTCAGCCTGCCCTCCCGAGCGCCCAGTGCCTCTCCCAAAGGCGCAGGCAGGTGAATGA